AGAGTTATCTTCTTGATATTGAGTAGATAACGAACCAGAACTCTGGGGGCAGCTCGGTTAAGCTGCCGACGGCGACAGGCCCCTCCCCGGCGAGTAGATAACGAACCAGAACTCTGGGGGCAGCTCGGTTAAGCTGCCGACGGCGACAGGCCCCTCCCCGGAAGCTCCTGTATACAAGGCTTATGTGTATGCTCACTTACCTGTTTCTCAGTCACTAGAATGTCTTGTCTGTGGATTTATGCTAGTACTGTATGTGAAATTCTTATCTGAGCAAGACACTTATCAAACCTCTTATCGATATAATCTATAATCTTATCGTACATCTAAAGCCATTTTTATTTGTAGGCTTAGTGTACCTTATTGTAAACAGAAACATTCAGGTACACAAATATTTAATTGCTATATCTGTATATAACAGTCCTATAATATTGAAATAGTTCTTTTGCCACATAGAATCTAAATGAGTAAAACTATTACCTTCTATGCTGTTCATACAGTAGGAATGCATGTTGAGTTAATTGTATTTGTCTTTTTTTAATCTAGAAAATTTGTAACTGATTACATTTGAATAGTCTAATATGGGCTTTCCACATTTTTCTTTTTAATTTTTTAAAAACCATATAACTTCCTTTTATTCTTTGTTGCATATTTTTTGCCACTGCAAGCCTTTTCATGTCAGTATTTCAAACAGAATTTCCTTCTATTTAAGCACCATGTTTCTAGATGACCTTCAGTGGTTAACATCTTTTCCGTTGCATGTAGGTGGATTTTTGACTGAGAAAAATTGAATGCTAGGTTAGTTTGATTTTATGTTGGCATTCATGCTGCTGCAAAGTTTAATGGAAGCAAAACCACAAAATTAATTTCTAATTAAATTGTGGAATTATTTTGCGTATTTAATAGGATACAACTTTGCAAAAGTATATACAAGGAATCTTGTCTTTTCAATTATCCGAGTATAAATTCTGTTTAATGAACAAAATAAATCTAACGAACAGAGGCTATATACCCTTTTCTCTGTGTCTTTTAGACATGAGTAGAGGTAAACCTACTCCATCACTTTATTTAATGCTATGCATCAGACCCAAACTGACCTTTCTTGCCTCTAGACAAAGCCCTGTGCAATGTCATCCAAACCAAATAATAGAAGCTCTTCACCTCAGCCCAAGGGCAGCTTTACAAAGGAATTGCAACATAGAGAAACCCCAACCTTCTATCTTCTGTCAGCTGATCACCTCAACATTCCATCTCCTTCATCAATGGACTTTCCCAGCTCTGCTGCCCTCCTTGAAAGACCCATTTTGCCTAACAACAGAATGCCAAATACATTGACAAGGATCTGCCCAGGGGCTGGCAAAGAAGGATTTCCCTTCTTGTGGCCCTCACCATCTATAAAAACCTTTGCTTTTCCACCCTTCAGAGTCCCTCTTATAAAGGTGGCATCCCAGTGATCATTGTAACAAAACCTGATTTTCTTCAATATTGTGCTCCTTCAGATTGAATCCATAAAATTTAATCTAGTACTTAATAAGTGCTAAAGTTCTTTCTCTTCACTAGAAAAAAAGAAAAGGAATTATATATTTTCTGCAGAAAATAATGCTTTCCTTTGACTCAACAACTTGATCTTTCAAAAGATCTCTGTCTCCGCAGAGTTGCTATGGTTATGTTTTCATGGAATTGGAAGGCAGAATTTTTGAGGAACGTTATTATTTCTAGACATATTCACAAAGACCCACATAAGGACAGATTTGAATACAACAAATATGAAGAAGAGATAAATATTCACAAAGTAAATTCTTCAAGATGCTGGCTTACGCACGAATGAACAGCATGTTAATACAGCTGTGTGCTGAACTTCTGGTCAACAGGCGCACTTCATTTCCCCCCCCCCCCAACTCTGTCCATGTTTTGTTTATCACCTAAATTAGAAACACTGGTATATGCCTCTTGGAACAAGATAAGACCTGAAGATACAGTGTGACAGGGTTATATTCATTCGTTAATGAACATATTTCTGAAAAATTCCATTTTACCATTCTCCGTAATTGTGACCTTTTATTTTTCTTTAATTTATTTTAAATATTTCTGTAAACAGGATACTTCCTAAGTGTTGGGGAAAAGTAATAAATTCTGGGTGCTGGAATGTTTACTAGTCATTAGAAACATTTTTAATCTGCTTGTAACATCCTCTCCAAAGTTCTGGCAATCATCATACACCAGGCAAAGTGGTCCCCAAGAGGAACAAAGGCTTTGTTTCATTGTTCTGACTTTATTAATAGGATGGATAGTTCTCCTTTTGGAAAGGAAATTAGCAGACTTTAAAAAGTCAGCTGAAATATATCTAACAGGGTCATGAAAATCCCACACTCCCTCTACTAGTAAATAATTAAAAAAATAGTCATGTAGTGGAAATTTGCCAAAGTAGAAAATTGAAACTGCTTTCTAAGTTTCCACAAAAAAGGATTAAAAGCTTATCTAAGTTTCTTTTAACTAAGTGCTCTGAATTTTACAAACTCTTACTAGTAGACTTTATAAGCTGAAAAATGATTTTTAAGGAAGATCACCTTCAGCAGTTATGCATTTCTTAGGCTGCTTTCACATTTGACTTCTGTAATTACAATCACGAGAGATGCTGATTTTTTAAAATATAACTACATTTCTGCTAAGATCTTTTGGTGAGTTTTTCACATAAGTAATGGAACATATAAAAAACACTTTGTAACATGTTTTGTTATAGAAAACAATTCCATACTGTTAATGTCGTCTAAGTAGACAGCTAAATCATAAATTCTCATTTACAATTTCATTCTTTTGAATTGTAGAAGCCAACAAAGACCAAAGAAGTAGACTATTTCAGAAATAAATAACTTGAATTAGAATAACTTTAAGGAATGTCATTTTTTTGTTCTTTGCATTAAAAATATTGATAAAATGTAATTTAGGACTTATATTGAAGGGGGCAAAGATTAGCATCCACATTTAAGAATGTAAGTAGAATCTTCAATACAAGCTTGATTCTTTATGATTTCATCACTGCTTCCATGTAATTTTATTGGCAAGAATATAAAAGTGATTTTCTATTGTCTTCAGAGTTTTGCTTTGCTTTACTTCCCAGACTAGTTCCTGATCGTTTATTTCCTAGTGCTCTCCTATTAAAGAAGAACCAATAGAGATGTGCAAAAGGTGGTCTTTAGGAAAAATGAATTTTACACACAACTAATAAGTCCACTCCTAATATGCTGTCAACTAGAAGGATGTTTACAAATACAGAATGTGAAAAAAAATCTATACCGAAAGTTGCTTTTTTAAAAACTTGCTTTTCTATTCAGTAGGATTATGAGACAACATATTGAATTTTGTATGGTGGAAAAAAAGCAACAATTGAAAACTTACGTGGTTTTATTACAAACAATTCAATTATATCCATAAAAGAGCACTAAATAATACATACTAAAATGGAAGGAAGGGGACTTAACATCAAAGGAATGGACAGCATATTTCTCTACTTTTTTTTTTTTTACAATAAACACAAAATCAAATTCTAACCAACAATTTAAACTTAAATTAGAGAATAGCTTTGCTTGTACTTGCCATTCCACTAATAAAACATCAGCTGGGCTGAGAGCTGAGAGCTCACTAAACTAATCTTTCAAACTGATACAAGTATTTCTTTCCAGGAGCTCATAATCACATTATTTTGCAACAGTCCAAAGGCAATATATCCAAATAGACAAATTCTAATGTTTGGGAATATAATTCAACATGACAATGTCTTTAAACCTTAAGATCCTTCCCACTGACTGATGCCTCATAGTAATAATATCTAACCCCAAAAGAACTACCAGTGGAGAGACTAAGACACACTAAAATCAAATTTATTACATTTCCAGCATAGGAAAGATAGTAATCTTTCTTGAAAATCCATTCAGGAATTCAATTATCTCAAAAAAAAAATTTTGAGCTACTTATTGTTCAACTATAAAAAGCCAATATTATTAAATTCAGCAGCCACATGCAAGAAAAAGGATCTATGAAATATATATTCCAAAACATTTTGAATCATTCTTGTGATTTAGCATATCACAATGGTGAAAAAGCAGTGTGAATTGAGACTGCTACTATGTTTCACACCTCAGTAATACATAAGGCACAATTAAGCCAAGCGGTTGATATACTTGTACTATTAAAAGCAACCCATCAGTACACTATGTAACATATTATAAGCTAATAATTTTAAAAGAAGATTAGGAGGTAACCTTTTGAAAATCTGGGAATAGAAAAGTTCCCCAAATGAAATGCTTCTCAGGATTAATATAAGAAAAGGGAATAAAGGAGATTCTATACATATACATACATACATACATACATATATGGTTATATTATACCTTAAAAGGTATAAGCTTTTAAGCATAAAGTGTGTGTGTGTGTGTGTGTATACATGGGGAAAGACCTGAATACACACACACACACACACACACACACACACACATATAGAAAAATTAGAATATCGTGCAAAAGTTCATTTATTTCAGTAATGCAACTTAAAAGGTGAAACTCATATATGAGATAAGACTCATTACATGCAAAGCAAGGTAGTTCAAGCTGTGATTTGTCATAATTGTGATGATTATGGCGTACAGCTCATGAAAACCCTAAATCCACAATATCGGATACAACTATCGGGTTTTTCCCCGGTTTCCTAAGGAAACCTTCCCTTTCCATTATATGTCTTTAAATTTTGCTGATCTCCTAATTTTTAACGTGTTCTTAGCCTCCCCGAGTCGCATTCGCAAGACGGACGGCCCTACGAACGACGAAACGCACGAACATTCCCCAAGGCTGAATGGCAGGAAAAGCTGCCCCAAACCCCAATTAAAAGTAAACTTTAGGCTGGCGCTCTTTCGAAGGCGTCTCGCGAGAATCACCGAGAGGGCGGGCTCTCTAATCGACAGCCCCAGCTGTGTATCCACGGGGGCGGTTGACATAGAAACCCAGGTAGCTCTTAGGGACGCGCCCGGCTGGGTTATTCCCCGGGTTGTCCGAACGCCGAAGGAAAGTAACCCGGTGCTCGCGCGCTGCCGGTGCGCGGGAGCATGAGAAGCGCTGGCAGTTCCCGCCCGGGCTCTGCCTGCTCCAGGCTCATCGACGTGACCAGCAACGCACCGTTGCTGCGCTCGCCCGCCAGCGTCTCAACCTCTTCCGAAGCGGAGGTATGCTCCTCAGGCTTGCATTATTCCCTATATTCATATCTGTGGCGTGCCTGGAAGTCGAACTGGGGGCAATTAGACTTCTTGACTTGTGGGTTCGAAATAAGCAGCGAAACGTTTCGCACCCATAAGAAAAAAAAAAGCTCACTCAACTTCCCGATGGCTCCGCCTGGATGGCCGAGAATCTTCAGCAAACACCTGCCCGGTGGTTTAGCCGAATGGAGATTTTTCTAATATTCATTCGGGACGCCGAACCACCCCACCCCACCCCACTGGTAATCCTTCCTATGTAGCCCTTGTGTTGCATAGAGCACTTACTTCTTATACACCGCTTCACAGTGCTTCACAACCTTCTTTAAGCGGTTTATGGAGTCAACATATTGCCCCCAACACCTTCTTAATCTCTTTCCCCTCACTCCAGTGTCCCCACCTCAAAGAACAAAAGTTCTGGATCTTCATTTGCCACTCAGAAGTCAAATCCATCTGGTGTCCCTTTCCTCCTTACTCTTTTTTTTTTTGAAACTGGACAGCTGCTATGCCAGCAAATATGGCTCCATGTGCCACTTGTGGCACGCATGCCATAGGTTCGCCATCACGGCCCTAATATCTTTATTTTTAGGTTAGGACCTAGCCACTGTATTATCCATGCATAAGAAGGAACGAAGAAGCTATCCCGAAGGTGCTTTTCCAAAAGGCAAGTTGACTTTCTTGGGTTTTTTTTTTCTGTTTGAGAACATTTCACTTCTCATCCAAGAAGCCTTTTTAGTTCTGAACTAAAGAAGCTTCTTGGATGAAAAATGAAATGCTTTCAAAGAAAAAAACAAAGAAAGTTCAGTTGCCTTTTAGAAAAGTACCTTTAGGACAACCATGACCTGGATGATGGAGAATCTCCATACAACGAGGAAGCTGATTAGTTACTTTTTAGTATAATTTGCTTCATTTAAATTTCAATAATTTAGACAATAATGGCAATCCCAAACTCTGCACTCTCCGACCACAGGACCCTTAAACATATTGATTGGGGATTTAATGGAGATGTGATCCAAAGTATCGGGCAACACAAGGTTGGGGAAAGCTATTCCAATAAAAGTATTGGAAATAATGAAATTGCCTACATTGCTTCTTAATGTTTCATTGTATGTACATCAATACTTTTAGGTTAAACATTCACTTCATAGGACACTATTTCAACAGCTGTGATACTTTGCATAATGCCCTAACAATTATAGTTTCAATTATATTTTGGTACAGTTTTATCTTTCGGCATTCAAGGACTGAGCTGTTTCTTATTAAACAAAGCAAAGGGAGTACATTTATCTAAGATTTCTGGTTTTCTGCTCTTTATCTTTCCTTCACCCATGCTTTGATCTAAAGTTCAGAGAAACAGAGAAAGGTTTTTGCATAGTTTTCTCATGGGATCCTTCCAGGTCAGGGTCCTAAAATTAGGATGTTAAATGTAGGATAATGCATCCACTACTTGCAGAAACAACTTCTATATAGTTTTGAAAAAAAGTGGGGTAGAGATAGTCAGCTTAGTTGAAAAGTTTATTCCCTTTATCTAAATATTGTATTTTTCTCTATTTTTATAGGGAAAAATACATTGTGAATGTTTTGAATGTTGATAATAAACATGGTAACTTCCGTATTTTAAAAATAGTATCCCAAATATAGAAATGTGTTTATTTATTAGGCCTAATTTCAGTTTATGAAGGCATTGAACAACTTCAACTGATTATATGTGACTTAGCTTATATATCATAGTGCCACAGGCTCAGAATAGATATAATGCCTAATTGCCTATGTAGGAATGCTGTGGAAGAAGATGAATAATTCTGGCATTGAAAGTAGTACAATACAATACAATACAATACAATACAATATAATACAATACAATACAATACAAAAAGCAGTTAATATGGATAATCTTTATGAAACTAGGTAATGCTTAGATGATGGCCTGCAGGTTTTTTTTGGGGGGGGGGACATGCAGGTTTTTCATGCTTCACCCCAACATAGCTTAGTGTTTCTCAACCTCAGCAACTTGAAGTTGTGTGGACTTCAACTTCCAGAATTCCCCAACCAGCATGATGGCTTCAGGATTCTGGGTTGAAGTCTACCCAGTTTCAAGTTTCTCCGGTTGAGGTACACTGAGGTACCTTGTTTAATTACCTCAGTGCACTTTTAAGTTTTAACAGAATATTAAATAAAAACTCAAAATGCATGCAACAAAGTACCGTATTCCCTTTTGGGGTAAGCAATATTATGCAAAAATGCAGAAAAGAAATAACAAATATTAACCTGGAGAAATTGAAGACATGAGGTAAGAAAATGAAATATGGTTAAATCTGGTTTTTCCTAACCACATTCATTTTATCTTTCCATAGTTTACTGTTCCTATAAACCCTATGCTGTTTTCATTCATTTCATTCTGTTCTTTAAAACAGAAAAACATTCAGCAGAGGATTTTTCCTAGGGTTAAACATGGAAGAATCTCATTCATTGAAATAACTGTCTTATTTTGGGGGAGGGGAAACCCTTTGCTTTTTGGAATTGGATTATCTGCCATGATGCCTTCAGAACCAACTAACATTACATCATTTTCAGCACTGCCATCAAAAATAAGGACTGTATGATTGCTTATTTTAAGACTCTTAAAAGCCTTGGAGCCAAACCAAGAAAACATCCTGGAATCATTTTTAATCCTCAACTTACAACAGTTTGTTTCATGACTGTTCAAAGTTGCAATGACACTAAAAAAGTGATTTATGACCATTTTCAAACTTACAACTGTTGCAACATCCCCATGACCGCATGATCAAAATTCAGATGCTTGGCGACTGAGTCCCATTTATGATGATTGTAGTATCCCAGGGTCATGTTATTTTGTGACTTTCTGACAAGCAAAGTCAATGGGGAAGCCTGATTAACTTACCAATCATGTCACTAACTTAACAACTGCAGTAATTCACTTAACAACTTTGACAAGAAAGGTAGTAAAATGTGGCAAAACTCACTAACAGTCTCACTTAGTAAGATAAATTTTGGGCTCGATTGTGGTTGTAAGTTGATGACTATGTGTAAATGTCCCCAAGCATCATATCTTGAGGCTCACTTTTGGGAAAGTATGTGAAAGAAAAACAGAATTCTTTTCATCATTGAATTCCTTGTCAATTCCAGAGACCACTTGTAGTCTGTGGTCAAAATACCATAGATGATCTCTAATGTCTAAAGCCAGTTTCTGAGATGAGTGGCCATATAAATTAAAATAAAATCTGGACCCAAAGATACTTTTTATATGGCCAGAATCTCAATTAATTGCCAACATTTCATAGGATTTTAGAATTCTTATCCAAAGTTTTACAAGACTCAGATGGGAATCTCAACGCCCCATTTGATCTGATTTGCAAGATTAAGATTGGGATCATTAAATTCAATCATGCTTTTATTTATTTAAAAAATATTGTATCCAGCAAAAGGAAAAGTGTCCCATCTCAAAAGGACACGGGTACCAAGTTGTCTTTCTTCTGCTGCTTTATTGCCAACATCTGGCTAGTGTGATGGTCCTTAAAAATTCTAGTGGACCAAGTTTTTTTAAAAAGTAAATAATCTACTAAAACAGATTTTGTTTCAGCCTAAACCATAGATTTGTTGTTCATGGCTCAAAAATAATGTACAAATCTATATTAGGAGGTGAAGTGGGAGGGAACTATGTTTTAAAGCTGAGTACAAAAAAGATACATTTAGCACAGTGGGTAAAAAAGTATTAGGGAAGATTTAAAACTGTATACAGAATGTATATGTTATGAAAAACGATGTGAACCAAAATACTTCTAAAGCAAGTTCTCCAACCTTTCCAGCTTTGTGGACTGGGGGAGGGAGAGGGGATGGTTCTGCATGAGTGGTGGGAGAGCATCCATGCACACAATTCCATTTGTGCAAGCGGCGGGCACATGTGTTTGCTTCTTGCACAAATGGAGCTGCATGCATGTGCTCATCCGCAGCTTCCATGGCCCAGTTCCAAACAGGCCATGGCCCGGAGGATTGGGGACCCCTGTTCTAAAGAATTTATATTTCTTTAGGGAAAATAAATGACAAAACAATAATACATACAGCATTGATACAGACTTACATTCATCAGCACATGTTATAGCAGTGATAGTCGTGATTTTTTTCATTAATCATAAGTAAATGCATAGACAAAGAATAAAATCACAATACAAATTATACTGATTTAATTTAAGGGTTTCTTTTAAAATATTAACACTTTCAGTGCTTTACAAACATTAAATATTCTCAGGTATATCATTTTATAAAGCTTTAGCAAATTGTTTAATTTAAATAAAACTTCTTTAATTTTATGTACATTTTAAAAAATACACAAATTTAGTGATACATATCTTTTCTGCTGCTTTCCTTTTTCATGCTGTTTAAAATGATTGGGAATTTTTATTAATAGTGAATGAATTCTCAGAGATGCTGAATACTTTAAACAGCAGGTGGCACAATGGCCAGCAGAAGGAGAGACCAGAGTTATGCTTCT